TGGCTGAAATCAATGGAGTGACCGATGAGCTGAGGCTAGTGGTACCCATACCGCCAATGAATAGTTGCGATATAAACGAAGAGAGACGCTAAACATGAGAAAAAGACGTTATGTGAGCTGAGATACATGATGGTGGAGCCGAGAGCCAAACTCAATCAGAGACCGGAAATTCGGATTTCAGTAGGCGTTACCAAGCACAGAGATAATGATTAAGACAAAGAAGAGTATCATAAGGTTGTAACTTATACCAATGAGATCTTTAGTCGATGGTAGCCGGTGCTCAAAATAAGAGAGGCCTTGGCTTGAGACCTATAGGCATTTGAAGCCTCAGAGGACTGACTTGGCCAAAATGTTTTGGATTGAGACGCACAGAATAAAAGGTAACCAAAAGAGAACTGGGATGTTGCGCTGACGCTCGTGATAACTATACCGCCATTGAACTGTTGCGATATAGACCAAAAGAGAGGCAAAACAAGAGAGGGGAACGTAATTGTGAGGTGAGATTCATGATGGTGGAGCCGAGAGGCAAAAGTCATGCAAAAGCCATGCTTGTTCAGTCCATGAACGCAGCTTTGCAAGCGGCAGCTCAAGTCACGCAACATGTACGGACGAATGGACTAGCTGTGTCATGCAATCCACGCCAACCATGGCCCGCCAAAATAAAACTAGTTAGGCCGTAGGTTGTGCGCATACTAGAACTTGAAATAATCCGCCCTTGCTACAGCCCTTGCTCCTCACCCCTGCATATGGTTCCCAAGCAACCTGGGGACTGAGGCTCTGGCGCTGAATATCGCGCACTCAATCGACTCACGGTTCCAGCTGGGTCCCATCCCACACATGCAGGAACTGACAGCATGCTTTACAAGTAAGATGATTTTCAGCAGGCTCGAACTGGTTCGCGTCCATCACCAGATAACTGTAGAAGAAAATGAGATTCGTAAAACAGCCGTTATCCCTGCTTTCAGCTTGTTTGAATTTATAGAAATGCCAGTTGGACTGTGCAAGGCCGCACAAACATTCCAACACTTCATCCACGATGTCACTTGTAGATTAGACTACGCCTTTTTGTACCTCTATGATATTTTAGTAGCCAGTTCATCAGAACCATAGCACCTCGAAACTCTTCGAACTCTCTTCCAGCGCTTGGCCCAACACGGTGTCACAATCAACCCGACTAAGTGCGAACCAGGCAAATCAACTGTAGAATACCCAGGCCACGTCGTCTCCTAAACTGGTATCGAAGTCTGTCCTGATAAGATCTAGGCAATCGAGTACTTCCCAGCTCCGACTTCCTTCAAGCACCTCGTCGATTTTGTGATTTGATCAAGTACTATGAACGCTTCATTCCACGCTGCGCTCAGCTGATGCTACCTCTGACTGTCGCGCTCCGAGGAATTGAATTTAAGTTCGCTTTACCTGACACAGCAAGTACGGTCTTTGCTGAGCTGAATAATGCACGCTCTAACCTAGCCGTGCGCTCAATTCGAATCGCCTGCAGCCATTTGTGTTTCGACTTATGCCTTAGAAGTCACGGCGGCAGCCGTCCTCCAAGCACCCGTTTGTGCGCAATGGCAACCCTTTGACTCAAACCGTTTTGGTGAGTAACATGTTGCATTTTACTCGCTCTGGCTGATACGCTTCCTAGTTTCGTATTGTGCACAATATACGTTGGGTTCAGTCGCCGCCGACTTCTATACTGCGTCTTAATTGTCTGTTCTTACGTGTCATTACTTACTCTCTAGTACCCCAGGCTCCACCTAACAGCCTTTCCAATACCGCGGACTAGTTGTCAAGCCGTCTGAGAGAGTAGCCTACGATAGCTCATCAGTGCTCTGCAGCCGGATGATATACAAACTCCATCCAACTACGTAATATTTTATCTATGACTGGCGAGGCGCTACTTAAGGTGTTTTGGTTTCCGATTCAGCCCAGAAGCACACCAGTGGTATTCGCAAGCGAAATCACTACTTTGGGAAAAAGTGGCCGATTTATGCCAGCCCTCATTCCCCCACCGGTAAGGAACACTGACACGCCTATGCAAACGTTTTTATTAGCTTACAATTCACAACTGATACGATGCAAGCCAGAACATCGACAAACCCCAAGCTCAAAGGCTTGGTTTGAAACCGCCATCCTTGCAGTAGTGCTCCTCAAAATTTTCAAGCACACTCCGCAGATGTGAATATTACCGACCACTTATACTATGTAATATGAGCTGCCACTAAGTTAAAGCACCAAACATTCCGATGAAACCTCATACAGCTTAACGACTTGCTGCTGACTAAAAGGAAAACTCTTGCTCCTTAAAGCCTTTTCGCACTATTTAATATCTCCATTTTATTTTCCCCGTTTTTCAACTATATTTTGATATCGGGAAAACATGGTGGACACGGCGAGTGGGCCGTATTAATGACCATAGTACAAAGCTCAAATTGAAAATCAAGTGTCTATCAGGAATTTCTGACTGACCTAAAGGGCCTATCAGTTTTGCCCTTGGGAAGTTAAAAATAAAGGCAAGGCCCCAGAGTTCAAATGCAGCGGGTAACAAATTAACGGCGCAACCAAACCACCTTGGGTCCTCGACGGGCTAAATTAAAACAATTAGGGTGGCACGAGAAACCTATCGGGTCCCCCAACAACGCAATCGGAGTGGATCAAGTGTACCTAAACTATGATGTTACATGACAAAGATGAATGAATGTTGGTGCTTGAATTGAAGACCGGTAGCGCAGGCTTTTTAGATGTCATGTTAACTGTTAGCTGAACTTGGCACTTTTGTAGCAAACATTTCGTCACCAATTATGGTGGCATCAACAGTACGTGTTTTAGTGGCGCGCCGTGGCGTATGGTAGCGCAGAGGAGCCGCGATGGGAGTGCGCTGCGCCTGGTGTGCGGGCTTTTATATACATCCGTAGTTGGACGTGGAGCCGAACAGTCCCATTGGTTTGGGCTTCAATCCATCTTCAGCTCTGTTGAAGGACAGAAAACATTTGACCTCGCCTCCTTCTGGTTCGTGGCCTTAGTCTGCTGGATCTTGCGAGCGAGACGGCCGTCATTTTTGTTTGTCTAGTCACACAAGCCACCGGATCCAATCGATCGTTAGCCGTCGATCATCAGTAGTTTGGCATACGTTGCATCCGGTTAGATTGGTCGATTGCTTAAAGATACTGTAGCGTGACAGTGTTCCAAAAACTCCCTCGCGTGTTTTGTACTTCCATATCTTAAGAACTTTACAATCTCCAGATCAAAATGGTGACCTTCTTTACCTTCATGTACAGAACCCAATAAGTGCGCAACATGCCTATTGAATAATGCCTTGCGTTAGACGATTAGTGTATAAAGCTTTCTTCCAGTTTGTCCGACGTTGGTGTTATCGTAATCGCTGCATTTAATCTGGTAGATGCCAGTGCCCCGGTCAGCTTGCTTGACTTTTCCTTTGGGTTTTGAGATCAATGTCGTTGGTGTGGCAATTGGGTTGTGAGCCACAGAAATTCCGTGTGAGTGCAGCAACCTTCCCGTTAGTTTGGCGACGTTCGTGCTGTAGAGGCGTACTATCAGTATGTTTGGTTGCTCGGCTGACTGCTGCTGTTGCTCAGGCATTCGTTTATTTAAGCTTGGTCTGCTGAAAGTACTCGGTTACCGGATTTTTCGGAACACCTAATATAGGCGATTTTCTTCTTGGTTCCACGATTCGACTGTGTTGTAGTGGGTTTCCACTATTTTGAACTGTTTCAAAGCAGCTCTTTTGTGATTCATCTTGTAGTTGCTGTGGTAGTTTGATATTTGGTCTTCCGATATACGATATTGTTTGTGACAGTAAATACAACAAGGGTAGCGTGTTATTATCCTCTAATTCAATTGTAAATTTGACCTCCTATAATGTGCTGTTGAGCAGATGGTGCGTGGACAGCGCGCTGTTCCGTTTTACCTTGATACACCTGTCGTCCACGTATGGTATCCATCGTATAATATCCGCCGTTTGAACAAACGTCCAAGAAGATTAATCAGCTGGCTTCAATACTTATGCTCGCACAGGTAAACAACATAATTATTCTAGTAACTCCTTAGACAGCCAGCCTCATTTTAAAGTTTTTACGCTTCCTTAGCTCATGTGTGAAGCTACGCAAAACTCAGGAATTCGTTGTGAACGACACAGATAAAACCAATAGACCAGCAACCTTGGCCGGATGGTTCCTGTGGCTACACTAATACAAATTTGTATACAAAGTTCGGTTTGCTGGTTAACTATGGCTACCATGACAAACGGTTCCTGCAAGGTTCATGGCGATGCGATACGCGACTCTGAAAGCATTAGGGAGAATCAACGGGTGGTACATCTGTCCACGGTTTCCACATTCTTATTAAATGTATTCCCGAGATACACTGAGAAATAGAAAGACGAATTAGAGAAACTTAAGAGCCTGAGAGATGTTATATTTGCCCGTGTTGTAACCAAGCTTCTTGTAAATCACGTTTATCAACTGCTTTGAACTGAACAAGCTTACATAGTTCTAACATTGAATTGCGCTGAATGTGTCTATTTAGATAGTGCTGTCCGGATATTATTTGCATATGGTTGCTATTATGCACAATAATTTATAACTAGTTTTTACGTTCTAGCGTTCCTATGACCTTGCATATGAGCAAATGCGCGCTGTTCTTTCTGAGAAAATTAGCCTTGCGGGACCTTCTGCTTGCACAATTGTATGGTACGTGAATTTGAGTTGCATTCTATTCTGTAGAACACCCACTGATGAATATAAAAATGTCATTATGCAATAAAAATATGTATTTATAACATCATGAAATAAAAAGGCATGCTTGTTGCTAACAACGTAATAACAATACAAAAAATTACAGTTGGTTTCATTGACTCCGATTAAGTCTATGTAATTGTGCTCGTAATAAACCACGCTCCTACAGTTGCATTAACTAAAATATTCAATAACACAGGACTCGTTATAAACAATGAAGTAAAACAAGTACATTATGTACGTTTGCTAGGCTATATTGGTACTGCAGGACGTTTGCCTGTGTCGCACTTGTGCAATCAGTGGCTTCCAGTTTACTGGTTTGTCGACTCCTTCGTGCAATAGCTTTCGAGGTGACTCTGTTTTATCGCTTTGTAATTTTACTTTCAATTACTATGCGCATTATTTATTTTTTAGTACGTTGGCTGTTATGCTCATAATATTACATTAGTGTAGGTGAGCTTGTTTTGTAATTTTTGGGAACGATTAACTGTTGGGGATCATGCACATTACTGTTATCTCTCCATCTTTGAACTTTATGATCTAAGGCATCTTGTGCACATATTCACCACGTTTTTTATTTAGTTTTTATGAAGGATATTTTCAAACAGGCCTATTTTTAGATTGAACTTTTCGCATGCCCATTTGTCTCATTCGAATCGATTCGTCGAACTATATCCTGGAATTACGGCGCTGTCGCAATAGAATATTTTCGGAAATTTCCTACTATGCTAGTCTTTTCTATTCGAATTTTATGTGCTCCTGTTTTCATTTTTTAAACTGTTAGGCGATTGTTTTCGTAGATTGTCGGCGTGTATGTTGTATATTCTTGGCATGATTGATGCACAAATGTCTGTCTCATTGAACTTTGCTTTGTGAAAGGCGTCCGATCAAATGGCTTGACAACGCACTACACTCTAGTCGGAAACGAATTTCCTCATTTTCCAACAAGTTGACTTATGTGTCACGGACTTCAAATTCAGCGGGATCTGTAATCAAGAGGTTTGCAAGGGTTTCCGAATTCTTTGGATGATCTAGGTCATTTTAGATGCTGACAAGTGTTCATTAAATCGCTTACAGCCTTTGTACCTGTAGCAATGCGTCCAGGCTTGTCCTCTTTGCCTGACTAGAGACAAGATGGCGGTGGAGCGGGTTTTAAGGAGTGATGCCAACATGGCCACAGGTCTGCGGCACCTCTTCTACCCTGACAGGCTGTTCAAGGTAAGAATGTTCTCGCTAAACTATCGCCGCCTTCGTGGCGGTTTGTCCTCATCTATCGGGTACTAACAGAACGGCTCGACCCAGATCTCTCCTGAGGTTCTTATCCTCCTCAGTTACCTACTCTTCGTAGCCATCCGTTGCAGTTGCACAAGTTCCAATCTAATAGGAGTTCTGGTTGACACTCATTTGTCACGTCGATTGATAGATTCCTGGATAGGGCTACCCGAGGACGTCGTGTTGTCACCCACAGTGACAACGTTTAACTATCGCCTTGACGCTCATAATATGTAGCTTTGGATATTCCCTTTTTATCCTTAATTTTCTTGCTAATTGCGCTTTAGTTCCCTTAGTTATTCTACTACACTCCAATTCAAACTTTGTATTACTCTCCCACTTTATGCTTAAAATACAATTTTACTCTTCTTTTCTTATTGCACGTGGTCGGTGTAACATGGACCGCCAGTTTAGGGCACGTAGTTTTGGTTTGTTGACCACGACATGTTCCGTACGTGCTAATTTGGCCCATGCAACTGGTCAGTCATACTACCGAATTCAAATGCGAGTCCGAGACGCATCCAAGATGGAACGATCATGGGAGTCTTTAGTTCCTGTCCCTTTTGAATTATTAACCAGTTGCGTAGAAAATTGTCACCCAGGTGACCGCTTTTGTGCCTCTGGCCGTTTTAGTGGCACACATTTGACTTCGACGGAAAACCTTTTTTAGCGTAAACATTTTTCTGGTCGCCAAGACCGTCCATAGTCAGTGGAAATCCGTTCCCACCGTGCTGAAACCTAATGTTAAAAGAAATTAACCCAGCTGTTCCTGCTTGGAGGCCAAAGGGCACTAAAAGCGACCACTCACAAACAACCTATTGGTCACCGTCGCTGGTAAAAAATACTGTTTTCCTGAAATGTAAGCGCTTATCGCTAAACGCCGGTAGTGTTAAGGATGCATTGTGCTATTTATTGTCATATTTAAACATTTTCTGCTTTTTCTTGTTTTGTTTTTGTGAGTGACTGGAAACTAACTGCGGAAACGACTGGCCGTCCATCCCTATCGGCAAGACTTCTGCTAGAAACTTGACCTGACTGCGCCTTATGATATCTAAGTTGTGTTACTGTCATTTTTCTGAAGATTTTGTTAGGGATTCACCGAATACATGATGTAATGCCTTCCAAATGCTTAGACTATGATACGGGGTTATCATTTCGCTCAAACGCCGTTTACCATACTTTCTGCGACGTATGGTTGCACACTATTTGTTGTAACGTTGAGGTGGCTCTGTACAAACCACTGCATTGTACCGCTTCCTCAGGTATAAGCTTTCTTTGTGATTTATGTTGGTCTATAATGAGTGACAAGCGCGTTTCTAATGTGCTTATCCCACCCAGTCTGTGTCTGAATTGCTTACCTACTGTGTTTCACTTGAATTATATGGCATCGCTGCCATCTATCTTGCCGTTATCTTCTTCTGGTCCAGACACTTCCGGGAAATTGTAGTCGTGTTTCCTCCGTTTTATCTTCGGAACTGTTGATTAGTCAGCGGTACAATTATCGAAAAGAAAATACCATTATAATCGTAGTGGTTAGCATTGGGACACCACAATCGGGAACCCTGTATACTTGGCTGACACTGTGAAGAAGAATAGTCTTGTGAAACCGGTGTCTACCCGTAGCCTAGAGGTAACGAACTTGTCCCCTAATCTTGCGGCGCGTGTTCGAATCCGCGTAGAGGTGGGCATCTTCGCGGCATACTCAACCGGTGTGCGACTAGTGGTGATTACATGGCGGCGAGGCGCCGTTACGACGTATAGCTGACACATTATTAACGGTGTCTAAGCCAACTTCTACTCAGTTCAACCTGAAAGTAGTCCTTGTCAGACGGAGCCAGTTGGATAATATGATTAGAACAACTCTTTACTATCCAAAGCCGCATCGCCATGGCAGAAACCACTGCTTCTCACGTGAATGCTTGCTGCTCGTCGTAAATGCACCTGAGTTTAATAAGACCGCTTTGGCCGAGAGGATAACCAAGCGTTTTTGAAGCGGGCAGTTTTCTTTGTGTTTGATGTTCAGGAACAGGGTGGGAAGGTTTCTGCCTTTCTTCTCTATGGGAAACAGGACAACTAGTAATTTCATCATCAAATGGTAGTCTGTCAAGATAAAGAGAAGTGCCGCCGTATCCTTAATCGGACTTTACGTCTGAAAGTCATCCTACATCTTGACAGACCACTCTCCAGAGGATCGAATTAAAATGAAGCATGCTGTTGATACATTACGAACCAGCAAGGCAGCTGGTGAAAGCAACCAACATTTGGATTTTCGAGTGTTGCCTCGAATCCCGAGAGTTCAGTTGATGTTAATCCTTGTTCTGCCCGTACTCTGAGAATCAGAAGTATATATGCCATTGCGAATATTCGAGAAACAAGCTGGATGTAATTCTACTGCTTACTTTAGAGCGTCAAACTGAATTGCTACCTTTCATGGAGACCTGGTTGCTCTCAGATATTTTAAAGAGGTACGTACTTCAGGATATCAGACTTCCCGAGCGCACTCTCTCGGATGGAGCTCTTGGAGTGCTGTGCTTATGTGCTGCAAGACAGACCTTAAGTTTCCCAAATTGAAAGTTGCATGCGATCCCGAGGTCTCGGAAATCTTTTACGGTGAAGTTTATTATGCATATCGGTCGCTCAAGGTCGGCATTATCCTCAGACTTCCTTTCGGATCAGGATCCCGTCTCCTGGACTCTAGGAGGGTACTTAGTGAAGGCAGAGAATGTCCGATGGTGGCTGATCGGAGTTGCCTATTGCCCCATCGGCCATTGGTCGCCCTCCTCACTGGTCCGTCCCTTTAGATCCACTCTCACGCGCAAAGTCGAACATAAGACTTAAAAGTTAAAATTGATCAAGACCACCGGAGCAGATGGACCTCATCCAGCCCTTTCAACTTCGGGGACCTACTCTTATGGATAAGTTGAATAAGTTACTCGTAAACCCTTGGAAGCAAGAGGCTGTCCCAACAGACTAGAGACTCTGTTACAGTCCCACGGGGGCCTCCCGTTCGGAATATAGCAATTAAAAATTAGTCTGATCTCATTTGCCTCTAAGTTACTTGATTCAGTCGTTCTCCATAGGGTGGCTGGCACCGGTGAAATTCAGATTCGCGAGGAGGAAGCCAGGTTTCACCGAAATCGGAGCGACATTGCCCACCTCTTCACTTTGCTTCATTTATTGGAACACCGCCATATTTCTTGGCCACCCGCCATAATCTTGTTCTTCGACTTCAAAGATGCTTTCGATCCGGTGGATCTATGTGCTCTTCTGGACTGTCTGCTCAGGAAGTGTGCCCGATAAAGGTATAAGATCGTTTTGCGCGCATAGTTGGTGCAGAGTGAGGGTTTATGGCAAATTATCGCCGCCATTTTATCTCTCCAACGCTGTATGACAAGGTTGCCCACTGTCCTTGGGCATGACGCGCAAGGTATGGAGCTGCTTCATAGTGACTGACTTCTTGACTTAGCATATAACGACGACATTACTCTACTCTGCGACAGCTCCCAAACACGCCATGATTCACGGGATAACTTAACTCTAGCTGTCAGTCGTTCCGGGCTTTGCTTTTAACTCTGGAAATGCATAGTGTTTCTACGAGATTGACAGTGACCCACCCCCTTGGCAGTAAGCAGGTAGAGTCGTCTAAAAATTTAAATACTTAGGCAAATATATAAGCGCCCGTGGGACCGAAGGTGATATCACAAACCAAATAGCTAAAGCTCGAGATATTTCTCCCAATATCCGCCACTTGTGACGCCCGCGCGACTTCGGTCACTCCGAAGAGCATACTTATCTACAGCCGTCCGTTCAACCTTCCTGTACAGTTGCAAAACCCGGCCAACCAGCTCGACAGACATAAAGCGTCTACTTACGTTCGAGCATAGATGCCTTCGCACCTTAGCTCATATCTGGTGGGAGCACCATGTGAGCAATGCGCAAGTTCAGCGTTGCGTATTTGTTACAGAAAGAGCGGGTGAATCACTCAGCACCGTGTTACCACACATCAGGCTCCGATGGCTGAGACACGTGTTGGGCATGCCAGCAC